GTGGCCTCCGGGGGCCGGCTTCCGCCTGCCTCTGCCCGCCGCGGGGGCTGCTTGCTACGGCAGTGATCCTCTGCGGGAGGGGGGGGCAGAGAGCGGGCTCCCAGCATGCACCTCACTGCAACCCCCCATTCCTGCCTCACCGTGACAGCAAACATGCCCCCACCCTCCTGGGCATTTCTGTCTGCTGGCTGGGAGATACAGCGCCCCCTGGGGGCTGCCTGCAGGAGGGATAAAAGCCCTCCCATGCCAGCTGCCTGGCGAGCTGCCCGGGGACACGGGGGCTGTTCCTCCTATCTAGTGCCCCAACATGCCCCTCTCTGCTGCCTCTGGCTCCTAAAAAAACCACAAGGGGGCAAAGGGACCCAGATCTGGGGACGGATGGATTTGTCAGCATGGATTTGTAAAGAACAAATCATGTCAAAGCTACCTGAGAGCTTAGACAGGGTAACCAGCCTTGTGGACAAGGGGGAAGTGGTAGTTGTGGGCGACGTCTGGACTGGCATGATTTTCCGGAAATGCTTTTAACGGAAAAGGTTTCCGTTAAAAGCATTTTCGGAAAAGCGCGTCTAGATTGGCAGGACGCTTTTCCGCAAAAAAGTCCCGATCGCCATTTTCGCCATCATAGTTTTTCCTTTTGTTTTAGCAAGATCAGACTAACAGGGCTACCTCCTCTTCCCCATTTCCATGGACCCCCTGAACAGCCCCACACACCCAACCTCCTCCTCCCCATGCCCCCCCGCCTCCCCCCGGGGCTGCCTCTCTGTTACTATTCAAGAATGATGAAAGGTCTAGAGAACAGGAGCTGTGAGGGAAGACTGAAAGAACTGGGCTTGTTTAGTTTGGAAAGGAGAAGACTGAGGGGGGACATGAGAGCCGTTTTCAAGTATCTAAAAGGGTGTCACAAGGAGGAGGGAGAAAACGTGGCCTCTTCCTGGCCTCTGAGGACAGGCCAAGAAGCAAGGGGCTTAAACGGCAGCCAGGGAGGTTGGACATCAGGAAAAACTTCCCACCTGTCAGGGGCGTTCAGCACTGGAATAAATTGCCTAGGGGCTGTGGAATCCCCATCTCTGTATTTAAGCTCAGTAGAGCAGACACCTGTCAGGGATGGTCCAGACGGTGCTTGGTCCTGCCGAGAGATCCCTTCCAGTTCTCCGATTCTGTGGGACCCAGGCGTCCTGGCTCTGAGCCCCCATGGACACTGGTCAGGGATGGTCCAGACGGTGCTTGGTCCTGCCGAGAGATCCCTTCCAGTTCTCCGATTCTGTGGGACCCAGGCGTCCTGGCTCTGAGCCCCCATGTACTAACCACTAGCCCCCGCTCCCCTCCTAGGGCCGGGGATGGCACCCGGCGTCC